GGGCCACAGGCACAGGGTATCCTTGATATACTATATATATATTGCTTTTGTCCTCACACACCACCTTGTTGGACACAACGTAAAAATGTTGCACACGACATCTTCATCAACAGAAAAACTGGTACAAGTTTTTGCGCTTTGCTGACTCTAATGAGTGTGGTGATGCTTTTATGCTTGTATCCCAGAGAAGACACTGGACACCCTACTGGCACCATTGAAATAGTAACCTTGTAGTTCTTCCAAAGGAAGGTTCAGTCGCAAGAAGATGTTCTTGATGCAGTGAAAGAGGTATTGTTCTTGTCGGATGTTCTGTCATGTGCATTATAAAATCTCCAAAATACACTCTGCTGGTTAACTCCACATAGTACAGATGACAAAAGACATGCCTAGATGACCCAATGTCCGTTGTTCCTCTCTGGTCAACCCATAGCAATGAGTCAGATGCCCCATTCTGCACTGAGTCTGATATCCAATTGTCTCTCCTGAGCAGCCACTTGCGAGCTGCTCATGAGTTGCCATAATACTCTGTCACGATGACACTGGCCTCTCAGAGGTAGCCCTTCATGGGCTAAAAAATTGATTGCCCTGAAAGCCAGCTTAAGAACCATCCTGGCAGTGTTTTGTTCCTTTGCCACAATATCAGACAGCAGAGCATTGATTGGTGTGCTCGTTAACACAGCAATCTTGTTCAGAGCCTCAAGATGAAAACATGATTTTTCATGCTCTCTCCATTTTTTCCACAGCCTTTTGCCAATTTGAAAAGCCTCCTTTTCAGAAATGTGGTGGCAGCTCTTGTCCGGCCCTTATTAATTAGCTTCTTTGCTACAGCTTAGCAAGGCTTTATCCATCTCTTTCACATAACGAAGGTTTTTCCACCATAGAAAACATTTTGGAAAACATTAAAAAAACATAAGAATAAAATCTCCAGCCTATCTGCACATAGTTTTACAGTAAACCAAAACCCAAAATCTCCCAGTATAAAAACTAAGCAAGGGTTGCAGAAACCCTACTTCCTGCGTTGATGTCTAGTGGTTAAGTGATTAAGTACACTTAATCACATGTTATTACACAGAATGTAATGCACCAGCATCCTGTAATTCCCACTTGTGGCTGTAGAGGTCGCTGTTGCCACCGCGCAGTAAAAATTGCATGGTCGTGCTTTAAACAAGTAATTTCCCCTGTGTCCATTTCAAGAAAAAAACCCCAAAAACAGAGATACTCATAATAAAATTTCATGCTCCGCCTGAGTGAAATATTTTAATTTGCACACAAGGACATACACATTGAACCAGAGTTTAGCTGAAAATAAGTCGAGATAACCTCTATGTAAGTGTCAGTATGAAGTGGATTGCATTTGTGCTTGACAGCATTTCCATTTTTACTTACTTATACTGTGTATCTAGGTAAAGTATCATTCTATGTTCACCTGTGCACAGGCTGTTGTGGAGCTTTGTGATAATTCCCACAGATCAATAACAAAATTTTAATGTTGTGGTCACATGCTAATTGTAGTTTCATCCATGGCCTGTTGTTTATCTCTGAGCTGAAACTGAAAATATCAATGATTGCTAGTTACGTGGATGACAGCGGACTCCCCAGGATAATATTATGTCTTCCAGTGTTGTCTTTAGGATTTTAAGCTGAAGAATATAGGAGGGCATAAAGAACTTTAGGGGCAAATTTATCAGATAATGTGTCAGCACAATGATGATACTGAACAAATACTGAAGGTCATGGTTCAAAAATATTGTCTATAGTCTAAATTTAAATTACTTATCTGATATCATATCCCCCTGACAGTGATATGACAGGAAAGAAAATATCTCACTATTAGTATGAACCTAAGATACACACAGTTTATTTGTGGTTGTACAGAGGTGTTGCAGAGTGGAGCTTCTTCTCACAAACTATCTTTGACAAGTGCTAATGCCGCTGTTAGCATAGAGCACACAAACTGACAACAGCCAAGTTTAATTTCGGCCTGACATCAAGTTACTGGCAGAATTACCATTAATTAGTGACAGCTGATATGACGTACCACCGGCAGTCTGTGTCATTTTAAGCACCGAAAACGACGCTCAGCACCCGTTAAGATGAGATGTTGCAGCTGATGTTTTATACACTGCTTTGCTAATGATTATTAATGTTGGAGATTAGTGAACCTGTGTATCTTTGCAACATCAGTGTCTTAACTCAGTCAGTCACCGGAGCACCCAATGAATATTTCACTTGCCAGTTTTCATTGGCTTATGCAGCTGGATACTGCTTTTGTAGGCAGGTCGTCTGACCTGCTTTCAGTCCATCCAGCTGTCCACAGTGGGACTGTGCTGACAAGTGGATCACTTGATTTTTTTTTTTTCTTTTTCCAACAGACACATTGGTTCAGCGTAATGATCAAGCCATTGTAATTGTTGTCTTATCAACCTCAAGCCTACCATACACTAGAAGACTTTGCAAAGACAAAAGTCTGACACCCTCACATGTTTTTTGTCACACATTATAAGATTTTATAAAGACTGGGATCTTACAGGGTCACTATTTGATAACATTCCTTTGAGATTATTTTCCATAATGCTTCTGATGGAAATTTAGAGGATGAAATACGTTTTTTTCAGATTGTTTTTCTCTTTGAAATTCTACATAATTATGATTATGATTGTTATTATTAGTATAATATAAAGTTAGGAACTCACCACTATAATTGCAATGATCTGCCCCAAAAATGACAGTGTTTGTACTTTGTATTTATAATTTCCGTGCCACAACTCAAGCAAAACTCTCATAATTTTATGTCAACATTGGAAATTTGTCTGTGATAGTAAAATCCCTTGAAAAGTCGTTTGGGGCAAGGACGGCATAAAGGGCTGCTTGGGCTGAATTTTGTAAAACTTTTTATGTGCACAAGATGCTCCTCAATACATTTTACAGTTCGCACACATTATTTTTAGGCACAAATGTAAATAACATACTCTTACTGTAGGGCCTTGCTTTTCTCCTCTTTGACTTCTTCCCTCTCATCAGGCGCACAGACTATAGACATCCAACTAGATCAACTATCTGCATAGATGCATAGATGTGTCTCCGCTCCTTCTATCCTCTTCAAAGTCATATAATTGCGACTTCATGACATTTCATAAGATTCTGAAGCATGGCAGGCTGCTGCTCCAAAATGTAAATAGCAGAATCACTGCTTGTGTACCAGTAGTAAAAAGGAATCCATCCTGAAATGTCAAACATGCAAATTACATTTCTCTTGAAGTTGAAGTGTCTTCGTTGTTGGAGAGTGAATAATTATATGATACTTAAGAAGAGTGTATTTGCCATTCTTGTGAAACATCTTTATAGTCTGCAGGCTCCAACCCCGTATGCACAGCTTTTAATAAAACATTATTTCTCCCACACTATTCCTATGTCTGTCTCGGAGCAGATGTCTGCGCCGCTCTCTGCTGGACACTGACCATTAATAACACGACAGACTATAACCTTGTAACACATTCTTTTTAAAAAATGTCATTATGATGGTACCATGCTGCTTTTCTGCCTTTCTTGGACTCAAGAGCTGATCTGCCCTGAACATTGGCAACCCAATGTGTATGTACAACAGACAGCCCTTGCTAATAATACACGCTTTTTATTTATTTATCCCAGGGCCAAGCCATTTTCTTATAGAATTATTATACTGACGATACAACAGAGGTGGGAATCACAGAGTAACTCACGATACAATACTATGACGATACATTGCTGATGATAGCGATGATATTACGATATAGCGATTCCGCGATATATCACACTGTGTAAGTGAAGAAGAAAGTACCCCTAAAAAGGCAAGCAGCAGGAATCTATTTATTCATTGTATTGTGGTCTTGTAAGCATGTGAAATTGTCCGTCGTTATGCAGACATGGTTCTCTTCATGGAGGTCTCAGCTGGTCGAAGTCTTCATTAATCAAGTCAAATTGTTGCTCCCTCTTTTGGCGACTGCTCTACTCTCACTTGCATGTCAGGTAAACAGAGTGTAATCGCAGCCTTTACGATAAGAAAATTGCGTTTTATCATATCACGATATTATCACAATTAATTGTTCAGCCCATTTTCTTTCAGAGTTTTAGCTTAGTGCCCCTTGAACGCACACTCACACCATGAACTGACAAAAGGTTTAACTGCCAGAAAGCAGAACAGTTCAGGAGTTAAAGTGTTTAAAGTGTTTAATATAAATTAATGCCAAAATACAAATTTGTCTCTAAAAAATTTACATATAATGATGATAAACACATTAAAAATACACATTAATTGCTTAACAAGCATAATCAACTTGTTTTATATTAACTGGACACATTTCTATAAAAGTAATATTCAGACTTGCAGACTGCAGTCACCTTTGAGCTATGATTCAGGTGTGTGTCAGTGTGTGAGAGCAAAAGACCTGCTTTCTCCGTAGGCGGAAACAGTGCCTGGCTGTTGACACAGTGTTGAGTTAGTCAAAGTGTATGTGTGTTTGAGTGCTGGACAGCGTCTCTGGTCTGCCTGGTCTGGCAGTGTGTGTGTGGCATTAATGTTACATAGTCTTTGTCGATTTTATTTGTGCCATGAGCACATTGTAAAAGCTGAAGAGGACCCAGACTTCTGACTTGAAACATGATGGACCTCTTTGATTTATTTTCTCCTGCTGTCCTGCTGTGCTGTCTGTTATATTCCCCCTGTGAGTTTCTTTTTCTTCACTATAAAGTTTATTTATTTGATAGGGGCCACCGTGAGGAGTCATGAAGTAGTGACTCTGTTAGGTCAAATTAGCGGGGGAATTTAGAGCACCTTTATATAAAGAATATTGATATGTAGTGCCATTGTATCAATAACTTATTGCAAGAGGAAGTAATACAATATATTACTGTATTGATATTTTGTCACATCTCTACTGTACATTGTTAAAGCAATATAAGATATTTGAAGAATAGACAACCCTTGACTTGTCACTCATTATAAAATTTCACTGACTCTCCAGGTGCTGGTGGATGGTCACCTCTGGACAGTGACCATTACCAGTGGCTACAGGTGGACCTGGGTTCCAGGAAGCAGGTGAGCGCCATAGCAACACAGGGTCGCTACAGCAGCTCTGATTGGACGACACGGTACCGTCTTCTCTACAGTGACACAGGGCGGAACTGGAAACCGTATCACCAAGATGGCAACATTTGGGTGAGTGAACAAGAAGCATGTTTGTGTGCAGTTTGTGTGTTAATACAAGCAACGGCCACAGGATGTTAGAAAGGGAACAGACAGTAAGACCATCAATAACAGAGCTCTACAATCAGCCTGTTTTTAAATTCATGTTGGGTGATTATTGTAGCTAACAATATCCCGAACTATTTTCATACACTACTCTGGAAAATATCTGCTCCTATTACTATTTATTATTTACCAATGTTAATCATTTTTTGGTGTAAAAAATTAATATACGACTCAAGATGTAGGTGTTAAAAGGACTGGTCAGAAGGGAAATGCTTTCATGATGACAAAAGAGGAAATTAAATGACACTCTACTGTTAATACAAGATAAATTTTCTCGTCATTATTATGAAAATGTGAAGGCTTCCTTTCACCCTACCGTAACCCAGAGCATAAAACCTTGTGTGGGAGGAAAGCTCTCAGAGTGCCACAGTGGTGCACATAAATATTCATCAATTAATTAGCTCAGTTTTAACCAAATGTATCATCTCAGCCACAGACCTTATTCAAGCCCTGATGGGCTCTAGACGGAAAATACAGTGTAAGAACATTTGGGAATGAGCTACTAGCTCTTTATTCCTTGACATTGTGTGGATGTCAATTCTTTCTGGCTATATCATCTATGTCTTTTATTCCAAAAAAACATACCTCCATCAATGCACTGTTAGCAAGCACGGGAGTGGGACATCTGATGATCCACAATCATTAGCTAATGAGTTAATGGCCCAAACTATTCACTGTTTCTGGGCTACAGGTAATAACAGATGTGCTTTCAGCTAGAGGAGAGTGGGGGAGTAGAAGAATAGCCCTGTCATGAATAACACTGATACACAAAGTCAGTCAGCAGTCTAGGACCTGCAGTAAAGGGGATGGGGCTGTTTGCTTCTTTATCTCCACCAGTGGAGAAACATGTTTTTTTCACCAGTCCATCTGATTCACATCCCCTAGAAGGATCTGTGCAGAAAGAGCATCAAGATTGTTAACCCTAGCCCTGCTGGATTCTTAGGTTATTACCTCCCATAGAAGGCCATTAGGTCTATCTACTTTAGTTTACTTTACTGAACTAGTGGTCAGGGACAACACATGCTAATTAGCATCGATATGTTGCTAATGTATCAGATTTAGCAAAAAGTCTAAACAGAAGAGGAAAAACGAGCAAACCAGCATCAAGGACATAGAGCATGCAGCAAAAATGAGAAGGAAACCTGGTAATTCATTATAAACAATATTAGGCGTATACCTTTTTTAAAAGATCACTTACTAGATTAGTCAGAATGTTGTATTGTATAACAGTAATTGAATTAAAAATGAATCAAGAGATTTTTGTAGCAATAGCAGAGTAACTTTGAATGAAATATATTTCTTTATTTTTCTGTTGCCTTTCTATGAGTTAAATGTTAAGAACCTTGAAAACAGGTGGAATAAAAGACGATGACCCTGTTGAGCCCTTATGATCAGGGTGTGTCAGTAGTAAATCTAATAATAATAAGGAAACATTTTTCCTCCAGAATGGTTAACTATTTTTTATTTAGCTAAGGAAAAATGTTCTGCTTTTTAAGCTACAAACGAAACACTTTAAATGCTTACTTAGATGAAATTACACCACATTCAGACTGTTGGTTACCACACAAAAGCAATTTTCTCTGTTTTTATTTTTTGCTTTCCTACTTAACTACAGAGTTTCAGTGTACTTTAATTTAGAGTTGCTTTTCCCGTGAAAGGTAGTTATTTTTTACGCTGCAATGTTTATTTTACCAAATTAAATTCAGAATAACTCACATACACTGGCAGCCAATTTTCATCAGCTACTGTAACTGGTTCTTTTTCTTCCTTTTTGACCTCCTTTCTAAAGCTTGGAAAATAATCTGTCAATATTTCTAATTCACAGTCTGATCAAGCTACTTACAAAACTATGGGCATATTCATTTTCTTTAGCCTTTGACTTCACAAAGTGTTGTAAACAAAGATTGACAAAAAGAACAAACAAAACTCTCTTAAGTGGCATACATCGAGTAACTGTCTCTTGCTGACGTTAGTAAATGGAGGTGGACCCTGATGCTTTCTCTCCTGGTAGCTTGTCTCTTGGGCTTGATATATTTATCCTTTGCAGGCACCGAGACACCCTATTGTCTGATCCTTACATTAAAGATGGGGTAGGCATTAATCTAGAATAGTAAAAAAAAAAAAAAAAAAAAACAGCTGCCCTCCTGCAGCTCTTCCCTCACAGGGCTATTGCACAAGCTTCATACATGCATGCAAGTCAAGCAACAGCTGTGACCCTTTGGCTACAGTTAGCAAAAGGCTAAACCATTAGCAACATTCAACATAGCCAGTCATCACCTGCTTTCATGGTAAATTTACCCACACAACCAACCACTACAACACATTTAGATATGACAGGAAAATGAAGTCCGCAGGCTGTCAGGAGACGTACAGCAAGTTCTCTCCATCTCCATCTGAAACGCTCTACCGATAATGACACAGTCATCTGAAGGGACATGCACATCTATCTATGAGGGTTGCATATGTCTAATTACATTATGCTGAAAGGTGATTATGAAATTTGTTTCCCATTGATACCAAAAATGACTGCCCACCCCAGCTTTAACCTGTAACTAAATAATAACTACTGTATAGCCTCATATTTCAACATAAGCATTTCATTGGTGCAGCTTGTTGCAGTTGGCACCCAAGCTTAGAGAAGTGTTTCCTGATAGGTGTTGTTCAGGGGAGACTATCTGTACCTCAAATTTTATTCCTGAAATGTCGGTGCTACGCCACAGAATTATAAGTTCTAGTTAGAATGTGTTTTCATACTCACAAATGAGAACAGTGTTTGCTTTTGAATGTGTTCATTTTCATTTGTGGGTATTTAGCTCTGCGTTAAGCCCCAAATAGCTTCATCATTATTCTGTCTTTTAAGACTGTTAGGACTGGTTGTGGTGACAAATATGGATCTTTTACAGTTGAAAGTAAATTAAGCTGTAGTTTTTGTGTGCTGCACCATAATTGTTTGCCCATTATTATTTATTCAGAAGTGTTTTCCTTCTGCCATTAACCCTGATTCATTGCCTCTAATATTTCTGCAAATACTCCAAAACACATTAATCTCTCGGGTGTTTTTGTAACTCTAGCAGACTTTTTTTCAGTTTTGCCTAGATGTGTGACATATATATTGCTTTTTAATTTATCGCCAGTGTAATTCAAAATATTGCTTATGTAAACAAATACAGAGCCAATAATTTTAAGTTGGGCATATACCATCAATAACCCTTAGTGCAGTAACAAGCAAAACTGCGACCATTTGTTTTGTCTCTGTCTCTTATCTTATTTAGAGGAGGCTTTGGGATGCAAGCATGAGTGCACACACATGCATGCACACATACCTCTACTCCTACTAAAAGTTGCTGACAATTAAAATGTGCATCTGCACAAGTTTAGACCTTTGTTGTGAGTGTGTGCGTATGTCCATTTGTTTGGAAGTGGTGATAATATTGGAGCTATCAGTGCTATTGAGCAAAGAGATGAGTGGGGATGGGCGCTAAAGCCAACTTACTGTTTCTCTCTCTTCTTCTCATACTCACACTCTCTCACGCTCTCACACACACACACACACACGCACGCACGCACACATGCACGCACACACAAACACACACACACAATCACACACACACACACACACACACACACACACACACACACACTGCTTTCATCAGCCCCTGTTTCAGCCCATTCAATCACACTTGACTCAGTCCCATTCACCACTGGATGAGGTTCACACAGCGATCCCCAGAGAGGAAACCACCTGTCCTGCACTCTTATGCATGAAGCTTCTATTCAGGAACCTTTTGCCACCAATCACCACCTGCCGTTACTCCACACTGATGATTTAACTCTTTCACTGCCACACAGAGCAACAACTTTCAGTAGTTTGACTGTGATGCACAGTGATAATTAAAAAAACATCTACTATACCAGAGGGCAATAGAGGCTGTCACAGTAATCGTACTGTAAGGGGAGCACTCACTGACTGTAATGGAAAATTAAATGGATTTATGTAGGCCTATAAATAATTTCTTATTGAGTTTCCATTTAACTATTACAGTAAATGGAGGGTGGACTATCCCACACTGATGTGTTATAGAGCAATGTGTTGATTGGTCCGTATTATTTATATTTTGTTTTACTGGGATGCTCAGGGATGAGCATGCGCACACTCAGGCACAGGGGTGTTGTGATATGCAGTTCTACCTGCTGCAGAGGTTGGTAATTGTTGCGGGCGGTAATACACTCTAAAAAGTATGACTGTGCCAAAAGAGGAGAAGAGGACGACAAGTAAATTTATAGAATCAGGATTTGGTTTGCAGTGCTGAAGGCAAAACTGTGTTTAGAATGAGAACTCCTCAGGGTACTTTAACAATATTTATTTTTTTGTTTGCTAAATTGCACTCGGGTAATGATAGTGATCAATATAAAAAGATTCACTGATTTACTTATGCATCCTCAGAAAACCATCATTCCTAAAATGGTGACAGTTGCAAAAATTACAGTCATATGTTTTAGAAATTTGGAGTACTCAATGACAGGTAACAATTTGTCATCAAAATGTATGACTTGGAAACCTTTCTAGTGATCGTCTTAATGTCTTTTTTTCAGTTTAACTGTCAGAGTTTGATACCACAGTGCTTTCTGCACTTTAATGCATTTCTCAGAGGGAACATTAAAAGCTAAATGCTGTGTGTAGTGAATTCTGTAAAAGCACAGAAAAAGAAAACATTCTCTGTCTGATTGCACATTAAAACTCAATTAACCTAACAAACATTTTAAGTTACATTTTCCTTCCACAAACTTGTTTACCATAACTCATTCTGATGCCAGGAGGCCCACTCTCACATTGTCAGATGGTTTATTCATGTTCATGAGAAGCTTGAAGCTGCAAGTACACCAGGTCAGTTGACAGTAATGTATGT